GAACCGTGAATCTTGTTTTTTTGTACTTTTTAGTTGTAATTATTATAATATTAATGTACCAATTTATTCCATTGAATATTAACATGATTTAATCTCATTTTATTATCCACTTGTATCTTCATTTTTGACAGCCTGCTGATGCCTGCCGTGCTTTCCCATGCTGGGATGAACCCGACCGCAAGGCCGTCTTCGAGGTTAGCCTGGTTGTCCTGGATGACCTAGTCGCCCTTTCCAATATGGTAAAATTTGCAACTTTAAATAATCCTTTATTTGACCTGTGCATAGGTATGCTTAATCGTTTTATAGGATGCCATACTTTTCACAAGAGGGTTTCATCTTTGAAAGATTTGCACCCAAAAGATTGCCGCATCATCTCTTTAATTTCCTTTATCAGAGATTTGGCCTTAAGTTTAATTTTTATCACCTATTTGTCATTAGAAGAAGCTGGTCTGAATTGAATTTTGTAATTTGCTTTACGCTTTAAAAGCCATTTCGTTAGCCTGACCTTATAATTCTTACCATTCAGTCTCATTTTATGTTAGAGGTCCACAGTCGATGACTTGGTTTTTCAGGGGTTTACAAGTAATTTGGACAAATTTTGGAGGGGTATTTGGCACATAAGGTAATTCTTTGTTGTAATAAGTTCCTTCATTGTACCTTTTCAATTGAAAATAAACTTGACGATTATTCGTTTTTTAGTACTATTTTGTGTCTACTATATTTTGGTAGCCATTAAAGTAAACTTTAATTTTCCACCAACATCTATTTTTATTCTACTCCATCATATGTATTCAAGTTTCGCAGATTTGTTACCAGTAAAAATGCATTATTTATCCTTAGCCGGGATATCCATTTGCCAGCAATTCAAAAAACTTTCCATTTCTTAATTTTTCGGGACATTTACTTTGTTATCTGCTTTTCTATTACGTACAGCCAGAGGTGTCCCGCGTTCCGATCGACCCTCCTTCGGATTTACCTGTTCCTCCGAGCGATCGAAACTACGTTAGACTCAAGT